CCTTAGCATAGTTTCCAGGAGGATCTTCTCCATGATCTTGCCAGGCACAGAGGTGAGATTGACTGGCCTATAGTTCTCTGGGTCTTCCTTTTTTCCCTTTTTAAAAATGGGGGTTATATTTCCCCTTTTCTAGTCAATGGGAACTTCACTGGACTGCCATGACTTCTCAAATATGATGGATAGTGGCTTAGCAACTTTATTTACCAGTTCCCTCAGGACCTGCGGATACATCTCATCAGGTCCCATGGACTTGTGCACCTTCAGGTTCCTTAGATGAACTACAGGTTCCTTCTCCTACAGTGAGCGGTTCTTCATTCTCCCAGTCCCTGCCTTTGTCTTCTGTGACTTGGATGGTATGGCTTGAGCACTTGCTGGTGAAGGCTGAGGCAAAAAAGTCATTGAGTACCTCAGTCTTCTCCATATCCCAGGTAACCAGGTCTCCCGTTTCCTTCCAGAGAGGGCCCACATTTTCCCTAGTGTTCCTTTTATCACTGATGTACCTATAAGAAGCTTTTCGTGTTGCCCTTGATGTCCCTGACCAGATTTAATTCTATCAGGGCTTTACCTTTCCTAACCTGATCCCTGGCTGCTCAGACAGTTTCTCTGTATTCCTCCCAGGCTACCTGTCCTTGTTTCTACCCTCTATAGGCTTCTTTTTTGTGTTTGAATTTGTCCACGAGCTCCTTATTCATCCATGCAGGCCTCCTGGCGGTTGTGCCTGACTTCCTCTTTGTTGGGATGCATCGCTCCTGAGCTTGGAGGAGGTGATCCTTGACTATTAACCAGCTTTCTTGGGCCCCTCTTCCCTCCAGGGCTTTATCCCATGGTACTCTACCAAGCAGATCCCTGAAGAGCCCAAAGTCTGCTATCCTGAAGTCCAAGGTAGTGAGCTTGCCCTCCTCGGTGCCCTAAGGATCTTGAACTCCACCAGTTCATGGTCACTGCAGCCAAGGCTGCCCTGGAGCTTCACATTCCCCACCAGCCCCTCCTTGTTGGTGAGAACAAGGTCCAGCATAGCACTTCTCCTTGTTGGTTCCTCTATCACTTTAAGAAGGAAGTTATCATCAACGCATTCCAGGAGCCTCCCAGATTGCTTATTCCCTGATGTGTTGTCCTTCCAACAGACAGCAGGGTGGTTGAAGGCCCCCTTGAGGACTAGGACTTACGAACATGAGGCTGCTCCTATCTGTCTATAGAGGGCCATATCTGCTCCGTCTTCCTGGTCAGATGGCCTGTAGTAGGCCCCCACTGTAACGTCACCTGTCCCTGCCCTCCCTTTAATCCTGAGCCATAAGCTCTTGGTGGGCTCTTCATCCATCCCCAGGCAGAGCTCCATGCACTCCAGCTGGTCATTGACATAGAGGGTGACACCCCTTCCTCATGTCCCCTGCCTGTCTTTCCTAAAGAGCCTGTATCCTTCCATTGCAACACCCCAGTCATAGGAGCCATCCCACCACATCTCCGTGATGCCAATAAGGTCACAGCCCTGCAGGCAAGTGCACATCTCTAACTCCTCTTGTTTATTCGCCATGCTACGTGTGTTTGCATAGAGGCATTTAAGTTGGGCCTCAGATGAAGCTGGCTTACTGGCTGGAGTGGCTGGAATTCCTTTGTGCTGCTCTTCACATGTTCTCCTGCTGACCTGTGAACCTTCTCAATAGCAGCATCGATGCAACTATGTACTTTTACAGTTTATTTCTTTTTCATTACAGGTGAAAGCTGTATTAGTGGAAATAAATGTTGTAGCAATACAGTTGTGTTCAGTTTAAAGATGATATACTGTTTAGATTTGATATAGTATAAAAAATGTTGTCTAATAGACACGCCTGACTAGATGAGATGAGAATAACACCAGAATACAGCAGGGTTTGCATTATTATCCTCCAGTGTATATCCACCTTGCAGATTTTGCCCCAGAGTCTAGGAGACTAAATCGTTGCAGCAAGTGACAAGGGTAGGAGTAACAGTGCAAACAGAGAACCAAAGTGGCATGGGGATGCCAAACAGTTGCTAAATCATTGAATTCTTTGTCATCAGCTTGCTAGCTCTGTGTTGAAAAGACCCAGCAGGCAAAGACAGTGGTCAGCCTTCTGATCGCTGGGAGGAAGCTGCAAACCTGTTGCAGCTGTGTTGAAATCTAACCAGTAGCTTCTCTCTCCACTAGCCCCACAGTCCAGGAAACAGGTATTGTGGGATTAATCAGTTATAACAGCAATTTTCTTCATGTGGAAAACACGGTAAAGCACCTGGCACCTCTCTCTGTAGTCTGATGCTACCAGCAGCGGAGGAAGTTATGGTGGAGAGTCACCGTGAAAAAAGTTCTCAGATATATGTGCGTATCTTAGACTTAACGCATCTACTTTAAGGTGTACAGGGCACCTGTACACGGAGCTAAGAGCTCTGAGACTCCTCTGGCAGACGTTTAACTGAGCGATTTTCTTTTGGGATTGCATCTGTCCCTGTGCTGCATCAAAAACATCTAGTTAAACATGATGAAAAGAACTGTTGATCTAGGACGGAAATGATGAGCTATAAGAAGAGGCAGTGTAGTGTGCTTTATCACAGAAGTATTTACTTTAAAAAAAAATCATCAGCTTAAGATGAATAAGATAAATAATGGATTTATAAGTGAAGGAGCCTTAGTTTAAGGAAGACAAAAGACAGGGCATCAATAGATGTACTAAACATCTAACAAATTAATCTTTAATTTATAAAAGTGCTGTGTACCTGAACATCATCAGTGAGTTGGCTGGCCTGAGAGAAACTCTGAGCAACTGAAATGTATCAGAGAAGTAACCCTAAAATATTCATGTGAGGACAGACTCTAGAAATAACCGTTTAGGCAACTTAGCACGTCTTTTGCCAGGTGATCATATGGTGCTGAATGTGTTCTTGAAATTTCAAGTACATACTTAGAAACTCTATTAAATTGAGGATAAGTGCTTTCTTGGGTAATACAATACTGAGATAGAAGATTTAAAACAAGAGTCTTCCCAACATTGAAAACTTTCTTTACAAGGCTGTATCTGGGGGGATTGTTCACTCTGGGTTTTTACAGGTTCCCGTAAAATGGAATTTAAGGGAAGTTCCTGGCATGAATCCTGTTTCGTTTGCCAGTATTGTCGGCAGCCATTGGGAACAAAACCATTGATCACCAAAGGCAATGAGAATTACTGCGTGCCCTGCTTTGAGAAGCAATTTGCTCACCATTGCTACTCTTGCAAAAAGGTAATTAATTGTACAATGGAAAAATTGCCCTAATGAGGCAATATTGCTTGTGGGGGAAGGGGCTGGATTATATAAAATGTATGGTGAACTAAGAGTAAGAGCACTGGTATTGGTACTGGATGCTGAAAGCTAAACGTGACAATGTCTGCTGTCCCTTTCTAGTTCACATTAACATAAGCCTTATTACATTTGAAATAAATTTATTGACCAAAACAAACACTTGGAGGTTCTTTTGTTTGCACTTTTTAACACAGGTTGAAATTTCACTTAAAATTATGTAAAAACCTTCTTTCCTGGTAATACCTGATTTTGCTTTGATAAACATGTCTCCCTTTCAACATTTTTCAGATATTCATATGCATAATAAGCTACCTAAGCTGAGCAAAGCATTCACAGTCTTGCTTTTCTCTTGAAATGTATCAGGCAATAATCAGATGAAGTAATATTCAGTTGTGATAATACTAGTCAAGAATCCTGCTGTTTCAATACATGATGCTTCCCCTATGGGTACCAGAAAGCTTGATTTCAAATGAGTTTTTCTTTTTTTCCCCAAATACAAGTAAATTCAATTTATCCCTCCCTCAGTTTCTCATGTTTTAAAATTGTCTCTGATTGATGAAAATACTCAAAGTATCATGCTATTCTAGTATGATATTGTTCTCTAGGGGTATGTTTTAAGCTGTTTCTATGGCAGAATTTAACTTATTCTTTAGTACATGTATCACTCTGGAAGCATTTTTTTTTTCACTTAATCAAATAACTTATAATTTCTAAAGTTATTTAACATTTATCTGTAAACCTCTACCTCTAATAAAAGCTTTTAATTTAAGAAAAATCTGCTGCCTTTTTTTTCTTCAGTAGTTAAACTTTAGAAAGTACTTTTGTATATTCCCATGTGTCTACATCTAGCCTTTAATTTGCATTAAATGATCACATGGCAAATATAGTAATTCTGCTCAATGTTTATTAGAAGCATTGAGGTTAGCAGCACTTACGTCAAATAATCAGAATTTGCTTCTTAAAAATTCTAGGAATGCAAAGAGTCCACCTACATAATAGCTAAAACAATTTTACTACTTAAATTTGCATCAGTTCCCATAAATAAAAATTAGGCCCAAAGAGATTAAATGACCAAACTGGAGTCTTGAATTTTGTGCCAGAGATTTTGAGATTTTGAGATTTTAATGGAAAAGCAAATGAGAGGAGTAGCCCAATACTGGAATGCTAAGGGGATTGGGAACTATTTAAATTGTTTTATTGCCTTACATCACCCGGTATTATTCTTTATTTCCCTGAAACAGTATTCCCCAGGGAAACTTGATGGTGCCACTATTTTTACTTAATTAAGTTTCTGCAACTTTTTCTCCTCATGTTCCAACTATATGCATTGGTTCATTCATTCATTCACTGTCATGCATGTGACTTGACAGTAGAAACACTGTCTTACAGCTCATCTTTATCTCTACAGAAATTTCTCTATACAGTCTCTCACAACTTTTGTGAAACCAGCTCTTTACCACATATATGAGAGCCATAGAGCAACTGGAAATTTCCCTCTTCAGAAATAACCAGTAGAGAGCTGTGAGTGAGTTGCAGGGAATGGGAAGTTCGATGACACTGATAAACACAATTTTTTTCTTCTTCTGGCAGTGTAGATCTTCTTTCTGTCTGACTTCTGCTTCTTTACTGTCTTTCTTCCTATTTAAAATACTGCTTCAGTGTGAGACAGCAAAATGCCAGTTCCAGTTGGAGATTAGCCATAATCTCAGCATCGGTTCTCTCATTCAGTGTCTATCACTGAGAAATGCTCTTCTGAGAGCATGCCTGATGCTAAGCCTTTATCCGCATGTGTACCAGAAAAATTTCATAACAAGATAACCTGTTTATTACAAACCATGAGGTTATGCTATGATAGAAAACAGAGAATAACAAACCAGTGCCATGTTCAGCTCAACTGCAGTTAGTCAAGTGGATATTCTAGATGAAGAACAGTTGATGTAACCACGCTCTCTTCTTTCGTGCATACAGAAAGAGTGAAAACAAGTGGAAGGACTTATGAAGGGCTGGATAGTCCTTCAAGATTCACACCTTTGTTTCATTGCTCTGTCCTTTTTGTCAATACATTAGGTAATAACGTCTGGGGGAGTGACCTACCATGACCAGCCTTGGCATAAAGAATGCTTTGTGTGTGCTGGGTGTAAAACCCAGCTGTCTGGACAAAGGTTTATTTCCAAAGATGAATATCCATACTGCGTAGACTGTTTCAGCAAATTATATGCTAAGAAGTGTGCGACTTGCAAGAAACCTATTACAGGTAAGTCTCATCCTCTAGAAGGGTCTAGACACTAATGAACTATCAAGCTTCTCTCAAATCAGACCTTTACTTTAGAAAACAGCATTAAAAGCAGTCCCATCATAATGAAAGACTGAGCAAGTTAACTACTAGAGAGACCCTCTCTCCATCACATGTAATGTGTCTTGCTAGGAAGTACTGATCACACGTGCTCCCTGACTGCTGAGGGGACGTTTTACATGCCAAAAGGAGTTCCTCCATTGTTTGATTTTGTGCTTTCTGCACTAAAATTTGTCCCTAAGAATAAATGAAAAGGCACTTTTTGACTCTTCCCAGGACAGTGCACACAAGTCCCTCTTGTCTGTAATTTCTTCAGCTTTGTTTTTAAGTGCAAATATGATCAAATTAACATGAATTAACTGCCTGCTGGTTAGGCACACCTGTCAAATTAGAACACTTGCCAAATGCAACAAAGCTCTATTGCATGCATCCTTGTATACTCTGATGATTTATAATTAGACATCATATAGGTCATCGTATGATAGCTGAAGTTTTCTGAGAGCATTTGCTGGTGTCCTACATTGTAATTCTGTTATGTGTGGACTCAACTGTTGAAGAGTACTGATTGTTACAGGTGCATGCTGCATATGTAAGTGGACAAATAACACGATGAATAGCCAATCAAATGGGAATGATTTTACCAAAAAAAAAAAAACAAACCACCCAAAAAAACCCCAACCAAACCCCTCCATAATCTGGTGATTTCCAAAAGACTCCGTCTTGAAGAAACTTAGGTGGAAATAATTAAATTTCACTCAGTGTTGTATAGAAACTATATGTATCAATACACTGCAAATAATTTTTATGACAGTTTGTTGGGAACATCAGCAAACCTGAGTGGATATTCTGATAAACACACTCTGTTCAGAGTTCATAATGGGTTATGAAAACAGGCAAGTGACTTGTGGCTTTGCTTAAAATATTTCTCGCTGTATTTAATTTTAAAGGTGTTTTTTTTTTCCATTCAACCAACAAAGGATATTTCAGACTATCGATTTTTGTTCATTTGTTTGTTTGCTATATGAATGGCAACCTGATCACACATCAGAAAACAATCTGTTGCATTTCTGAATCATGTCCAGAAATACTGGATTCACATCTTTTTTCTCATAATCTCTTTCAGCTCTTGGAGGTGCCAAATTCATCTCATTTGAAGAGCGCCAGTGGCATGGGGAATGCTTTAACTGCGCAAAATGCTCTGTCTCACTGGTGGGCCAAGGATTCCTCACTCGGCAGGATGATGTCCTTTGTCATGAATGTGGCTCTGCTTCATAGTTCTGTGGAGAGCTATACAGCTGCATTATTCTCACTCTGTAACCATGTGCTTCCTTACTCTGCAGAAAGAAAACCATCTAAAAGGTATAACAGTTATTTAGTCATTCAAGTAACTTTCTAACAGCAGTTTAATTCTATCCTAGTTCTCAACTGCTTGTAAAAAAATTTAAACAGACCCATACTGGCTAAGAAAATAATGCAGAAAAGATTTGTATATTTTTTACATCTAACTACAATATGTTTTTCCTTGTAACACACTGCACTCTGCTGTTAGAAGCTTAAAAATTTACATTTCATCTCCCATGAACAAAGGAGGATTGTGAGAAGTCCATATGACATATGAGTAATGATGAGATGTTATTAGCACTGCTTCACAGATGCAGACCTTGGTGTGGAAAGCTGGGCACGTGCGTTTTTCTTTTTTACTTTTACACAGAGGGCCACTGAGTCAAGAGAGGCCCATTCCAGGGCCAGATAAAGGGAAAAAAGGTCACTTTCCTCTCCTTACTGAGATTGCTCCTCAGAAACATAGTCTTTAGGCATTTAAAAAAACTGAATGACAGGTTCTTTCCCAAAATGGGTTAACTGTGCTTAATTTTTCAGGCATAACTGCTTTAGAACATAAATAAACCCATATTTTGAGCTACTGTAACAGGTAAGGATTGCCCAAGATTGGATAGTGCTGATGTACACTTTCCCATAGCTGATATACCTTAAGACTCTGTCTCCATTGTCCTCACTAGACCTTCAAATACATGCATAAAATACATTTTTTTATTAGTAGAGACAAGAGCCAACTCATACTTGTCCCTTTAACCTTGTACTTTCCTCCCCTCAGAGCCCATTTGCCAGAAATCAAAACACTGTTAATGGCCTCACCATTTTCACCCTGCTAGGTCTTTGATCCACAGTCAACCCCTTTTCTTGTAAATGCCTGCTTGTCTGTAGCAGGTTATAAGCTCTTCAAAACCAATACCCAATTCATTTTGCCATGTGCCACATGCATTTACCAATATTATGTCAAGAATCAGTAACGTTGTCATCGCAAGCTAGGCAGTCCTTGCTTGTAGTACAAGATATTAGTTTCTAGGTAGCTGCTTTGAGAAGGTTATATCTGCTTGCTGAGCTTCAGCACTCAAGTGTCTATTATTAAAGGTCATCTAGAGCTGAGTTACAAGCATTTCTCTTCCTACTTCTTCCATTCTGTATGTTACAATGGCCTGATTGGTGTTACAGTGTCTGTACCAGGCTGTTGTGAGTGGTGCAGTGATACTAAGAATGGCAGATTCTGCACTGCTCAGCACTGGTTTAGTCCTCATCTCTCACATTTTTAAGTCGTACACTCTCCTTTACGCTCTGACCTTAAGCACACAGAGTTATTTGGCTGACTTGAGTGGGCTTTATTCATACTGAAGCCAGCCATTACTTTAGGTAGAAAAATGAAAAAAAGAGAAAAGAAAAAAAAAGAATATGTGTACATAGCTAAGCCAGTGGCATAAAATCAATATGGATAATGACTGACCAACAAGTACATGGCGGTCTGTTTTCCAGTCAATAAAATATTGATCTTTTGCTCTATGTGGTGTTCGTTTTTGTTTTTCAGTTTCTTCTTTCATGGCAGCTTTTATTGCAGTCTGGAGTTTGATTAGTTTATGCCTTTTGATTTTATCCCAGCTGCCTCCTTTTCTATTTTCACATTTCACATGGCTGATGCAGGTTCTTGGTAAGACTTGGATTCCCATAAATAGAAATATGTTTCATTGCCTTATATATATACACACACACACACACACAGTGGTTCACAATTATGTATGAAGTTCTAAAAATGTGCACCAAGTTATTAGAAATTAGCCCATTAGTAAATGTTAATTGTCTTAAATTTTTAAATTAAAATGATAAATCACTAGATGCAGACTTGTCTGTGGGGTGTACCTTTTGTTTGTGTTGTGTGACATAACATTCAGCAAATTGCAAGAATGTGGTTTGGGTCCTTTATTCAGCCTTGTCTGAACGATCTTCCAGTTTAATTACAAACTGACGCAAGAATTACCAGGAAGAGTCCTAAGACATGACAGAGTCACAGGTCAGACACACCGGTCATGATAATCCCAGTCTTCAAGCCTTAACATTTAGGAAAATGAAATTCCTTTCTGACTCATCAACTATTTTTAGAAATACCAACTGAATTATTTATTTATCCTGCAGTAAATACACTACACTCAAATCTGGAACTGAGCATTTTCACTTCAGAGTAACTAAGTAATAAATGTGACTGCTATAAATAGTTTGAATAGAAGTTATGCTTGATATCAGATTGCTATTTCCTAGTCTCAGTCACCAGCTATCAATGTATAAACATAAATACAGTAATACTCTGCACAGTTTGGGTCAGCTATGCTCACGTAGATGAAAGCCAACTTGAATAGGTGCAGAGAAGGGCTGCAAGAAGGAGCAAGTGTGTCTCTGTGGAGGACTGTAGATCATGGAGGGGATTAGACGGTTGCTATAAGCCAAGAGACTGCATTTGGTTCAAGAACAAAGGCAAGTAAACTCTTCAGGACTGGAAACTGGAAATTAGAAGGCTGCTACTGCTACTGAGCAGTGATGCTTCAGGAGAGCCTCTTTCCAGAACCAAAAGGGGAACAGCTATGCGGTCAGTTTTAAAGTGATAAAAAAATCTTGATCAGTGTGTTAAACGGCGTATATAACGTGATTGGCTGGGATAGCAAAGCACTGGGCAAAATGAACTAGATGGTCAGCTTCAGTCTTTGTTACTAACATTTGATTTGCTGTAGAATGATCAGGGTACATGATGAATGAACCAATGCAGTTCAATTTTCTTTAATAAACTTCAGAGGTTGGAAGTTTGAGAGATTTATTTTTAAGTCAACAATTTAAAGTCATGTGCTTTTCTTTAACATTGTACTGTTTTATTTTGAAATATATCTAGTTCTTGCCAATGTATTAGCTGCCCAGATCTAAGGTAATCACACTGCTTTTGTTATGGTCAAGCTCAATTATCCTAAGACGCAGTGATGTCTCTAATGCCCTGATCACATCTCCACTGTACTCATAGTTATCCCAGGGGACTGGGAGGGAGGCTGCCACTTGGGACTAACTTCCGAAGAGTGAAGCAGGTGCCCTATTACCTCCCTCAGTGCTTAAGGCTAAAATTCAAGTTCTTCAACCACTGCCTAATAGCCAGCAAACTCCCGGAGCTAACATGCTTAAAATACAAAGACAAGTCCTGAAGTATTGGTACCAAGTGACCCTTCTCTACCAATATTTCACATTTTTCACTCTGAGGCAAGTTCATATAGTAGAAGCAAGATATCACCCTTTTCCTGGACTGCTACTTTTAAAATCCAGGCATGTTTTCAGTAGATGTAGCAGGCAACACACAGCAGCAATAAGTCAGAAACCCAGAATCACTTCCCAGCATTTCACAGGCGGAGGCGCATGCTCCAGACTCAGGACTTAGCTCTAGGGTGAAACCCAGACATCCTTCATTCTCTCTTCTTGTTCCCTGGTTTTCTGGAAAGAAAATACATGAGCCTAGGTTGGGGAAGAGCTAGGGCATAGTCTGGCCATATCTGTGAAGTGGTGTCACATCACAGTGTAGTTTTTCTGCAGAAACTCAGCACATGCAAGTTCAACAGGTTCTTGTACTGGTGGGTATCACCCCAGGCTTTCCTCATGGTAAGAGTGGCTCAGTGCAACCACAGGCACATTAGGAAGGGAGTGGTAAGGTTTTGCAAGGCCTTCTGGACCTGTGGTTTCAAACTCTTCACAGGCCCCATCACAAGAGGGGAGGTACCTGTTTATACCCCACTTAGCTGATCAGCAATTTCAGCACCTGGTCAAAGTTTTTATGAATCTCACTTGATTTAACAGAATGGTTGTAGAGCAGTGTATTGTATTTTAGGAAGACAAGTAAAAACACGGTGACATTTATACAATGACAGATATCAATAGCTGAAGGAAAGTAATGTTAAATGACTGCCTAAGTGGAAGTTGGGAGATCATTTGTGTAAACAAAAAAGTTGGATGGGATTCAAGCCTATAGCCAGAACAAACTTGTTTACCAATCAAGCAGGA